GACAGCCCCTGCCTGTGTCCCCAGCTTGGGAAAGACACACCAGAATAGGTGCCACTGTGGCATTGGGGACATTCAAAGGGCCCTGGAACAGTCACTCATATGCCCTCTGTACTTCACCTCCCCTCAGAGTCTGTGTCTCAGCCCATTTATTTATTGCACCTCATTGGCAAAAAAAGGAAAGACATCCCCTGGCCAGAGGGAAATGTCCCAATTAAAGAGCAAATGATGCAGTAAAACAGCAGAGCATTCTTGAGAGCCGCGGTAAAAGCGGCCACCTCTTGTCCTCAATTTATGCTGCTCCCATCACCCTGGGCATTATATTTGTGCTGACAAGGATCAGTTTAACCCCTGCCTGCAATCTAATAAAAAGCTGGCATGGTGCAAGCATGCATAATCTTTCTTCAGTGTCCTAGAATGGATGCAATAAAAAACTGCTGCTGCTGCTCAATGGCCATAGCCACTGCCTGGAATAAATAACTCCCTGTCCGATGCCAGCAGTGGGAAGTGCTTTGGACCAGAGGTTTTTCAGACCCTCATCCCTTTACAGAACTTTATTGTCATAGGGCTGTTTAGGTTGGAAACCTCTAAGATCATCAAGTCCAACTGTTCCTCTAGCACTGCCCAGTTCACCCCTAAACACTGACCCATGAGCCACATCTGCACATATTTTAAATCCCTTCAGCGACTCATCCACCTCCCTAGGCAGCCTGTTCCAATGCTTGACAACCCTTTTGGTGAAGACATTGTTCCTAAGTATCCAACCTAGATCTATCCAATCTGCCCTGGTGCAGCTTGAGTTCATTTCCTCATGTCCTGTCACTCCTTACTTGGGAGAGGAGACCAACTCCCACCTGGCAACAGCCTCCTTTCAGGGAGCTGTAGAGAGCAGTAAGGACCTCCCTGAGTCTCCTCTCCTCTGGGCTGAGCCCCCCAGTTCCAGCTTAACACCCCAGCACATCTGTGAGTCCAGCATGTGCCCCGTGGCAGTCACCCACCATGCCTCAGTATATACTGGGGGAAAAGCAAAAGGAAAAGTCCCAAAGGCTTTGCCATCAACAACAGATTCTTTCCCCTCTCATCATTAATTGACCAAGCCAGCACAGCAGAGCTGGCATTACGCTCTGCTACCCTTTGTAATGAAATCACTGCCTGTGCACAAGAAGCAAATTTAATGATATGATACTAATAGGGTTAGAAATTTCCCATGCAAATATTAATAATTTATATCTACATTCATTTTTTTTAATACAGCTTGCAGTCTGTAGCAAGAAAGTGCTGAGGTCTACCAGCCTTTCTCACAGATCTTGTCTGGGAAGGGTGCAGGTGTTACCCAGCTGGAGAGAGAGATTTCAACACGATTTCACCAGGAGTTCAAATTAGCTTTTTGAAATCATGTCCTGGCCTATTTCAAAAAAGGAGACAATGCTTAAACAGGAGCGCTGCTTGCATGGACCAAGCGGCAGCAGGAGATGGATGTTGAGCCTCTGTGTGCCCAGGCCCCTCCCCACAGGCATCTTTGCACCACCTGCACCAAGAGCCAGGGCTCCTGATGGCCCTACAAGAGCCCAGAGTGAAATGAGATGTGGCCCTGCTGTTACAGAACACACCAAGCACCCACCTGAGGTAGCTGGCATCTTGAGGTAGCTGGCAGCAAAAGGAGCAACCTCTGGGCTGCGAAGTCAGAGCGATTTAGGGACTGAGGAGAGGGGGGAAGGCAAGGACATTCTATTTCAGAAGTAGGGAGGGATTTGTGTTGAATGTCCTTTTTTTCAGCAGTAAGAAAAAAGTCTCTGAAAGGAAGGGCAGTGACTGGGAACCTGCAGGGTTGAAAGAGAAGCTAATTCCCTCAGACAGGCATAATTGCTGCAATTCAGAATGGTAAAAATGTGAAATTAGGAATAATCAATGGCTGTTTATGATCTGTGTCTATACTGTGAATTCAGCTAATATGGAGTAATTACACTGCGCTAATTCCTGGTATTTGTCATCGTTGCAGAGGAGTCCTGCAAGACAATAAAAGCAGACCAGGGGCTTAGCACCGCACGAGCTAATTTCTCGTTTAATAGTAAAAGCGGCTGTGACCTCCCTTGTTCATTTTTCTGTCCCCGCAGCAGAGCCGGCGCTGCGCGGGGCTCGGCGGGCGCAGGATGCGCTACACAACAGCACCTCCAGCAGCCGGCACACAATCCCTCCCGGCCTCCCTGCCTCTTCCCTGGAACTGCTCCCTCACCCTTCTGTCCGATATTGTTATATCAGCCCTCCTATAAAACTTTGTCCTCACGCAGTTCCTCCCATCCGGCACAAGGTAACTGTGCCGGCGCCTCGCCCGGATGCTCAGTGGCCCGTGGAACCTTGGGGATGTGTCACCGGTTTGCTGGCACGATTCACTCTCTGCCCGATGGAACAGCGCTCATTGCTGACCTCTGCAAAAGCGGGAGAGTAGAGGTGAGTACAGGATTGTTTAGTGGAGGGTGAATAATCCCCCGCAGCAGCACAGGTGGGAGGTGTGGGCTGCAGGGACAGCCCTCGCCCTGGTTCACCCCTCGCATGTGGCGAGCGGGAGGTGCAGGTGGTGTTTAACACAAAACAAACACAGAAGTTACAGATCGTTTCCTTTCAGAGGAGCTACACTTAACATCTGCAGTAGTTCGGCACGAGCAATCTGAAACCATACACGCATTGTGCTTATCAGCAGCCAAACCTTTCCTGAGAGAATTTATCATCAGCTTATCCCAGTGAGCACGGCCCTGAGAAGGAGCATTTCCCGGGCACTGCAGAGCCCACAAGGGATCTCTGGGGGAAACCTCCTCCCAGTGCTGAACTTTCGTATCCTGGGAGGGACAGTTCTGCAGCCACTTCTTTGGCACCAGTGTCCCAATGCTTCCCACCACTCACTGAGGGTCAATGCACCCAGTGTTGACACACGGAGGGAAGAGGAGGAGGAGAGCACTCCTCACTCACCAGCTCACTCCTGCTGATCTGCCACAGTGCTGATCACAGTGCAGTGTTTGCTCCATTGATTATTCATTCCCCAGTCTGGCAGCTTTTTGATACCATATCTATTATTTTTTTCCTAATTCCTCTTTTTCCATATCACGCAGAACCCCCTGGGGGAGCCTGCGAATGAGATTTGATGCAATTTAATTGCACTACACCAGTTAATTATTTGCTGAGTCAAAACTAAGCTGATGCCCCACTCCCAGCACTTGGCACATTCCCTAATGTTAGGTGGGATTTAAAAGCCCCTTTTCCTGTGTGCCCCAATGAAAGGGCAAAACCTGGGCTGCCACAGGATGCAGAGATGGGACACGAGGGCTCCCCACACCAGCATGTGCCACAAGGAAAGCCCACAATTCCCCATCCTTTCCTGTGGTTTCAGGGAAACATGTGGGATGAAATGTTCACTTCCAGAGAGCAGAAGCATTTCACACAAGATTTCATTGTTGGAGGCTCCTGGCCCTGCTGATGATTTTTGTTCATTTCCTCTGCAAGCAGCAGAAATGCCTCCATCCCCATAGAGGACTTGGCCTCAGGTTCCTTGAAACAGGAGGTAAAACTCATGATTGAACAGGCCTTCCCCAGGGTGTTGCAATCCCCATGCCGTGGGCCTGCTCCTGCAGGGGCAGGAAGCAGGGGAACACAGCAGGGACGAGAGCTGTGGCACTCCAGGGCTTGGGGCACTTTGTTATTGAGCCGAGGCGGTTATTGCCAGCAGCTAAACAAACTAATAGGAAGGATATTTCCCCAGAGAGCAAGAAGGTTTTTGATTTAGACTGTGCTGTTTAAGCTCAGATTCTCACCGCAGCTAAAATTTCCTTCTGAGGGCAATAATTATCCCAATGCAGAGCCAGGCATATTTGCTTTTCTGCTCCCTGTCTGGAAGGCTTTGGTTTGTGATTCCCCCCAGTGTTCAGCACCCCCTGCACCTCTTGCCCAGCATTGAGGACCAGAGCTGGGGGGAAGCAAAGAAAAGCTCAGCACACAGCTTTATACAGAGATCACCCTCAGGTATTAAATTATCAGGAAGCAGTGTTGGTCCCACAGGGCTCGCTCCAGCCCTGTGCAAGCTGCAGTCCCAAAGGCAGCGCTGTCACTGCCAGCCCCACATCTCCTCCACTGCTTCTTGGATGAAAATTGCTTTAAAAGCTCCAAGAGAAATCGTTTGGTTCTTCTAAGTGGTAAGAATGGAAAAGAAAAAGGAAAGAAGGAATGGGAACACTTTTGTTCTTGGCTGCAAGGTAAATGAGGTTCAACTTTGGAAAAAATAGACAGCCGCTAGTCCAAACTTTGGGAGTCATTTCTTCCTTTAGAACCATAACAATAACAGTGATAAACTATTAAAAATAAAACAGCCTAAATCTATACCTTGAGTTAACCCAGGACTCCTTTAGAGTTCAGGACTGCTGCTGGATAAATAAATGCTTATTTGGAAAAGGAACCTCCAGCTTCCTGTAAATGAGAGGCAGAGAACTCTGGGCCCCAGGGGCAGAGAGCCCAGGACTCGGGGCCAGCCCACGGACATGCAGCACAGCTGGGGGGAAATCCTGACAGATCAGGTTATTCTGGTTTTACCCCGGTCTGGGGAACACCGCTCCCGGCTTCGTGCCCGTCTGTTCCCATTGCAGTACCCCTGTCAGCCCAACGCGCTGCCGTGGTGAAAGAGCAGAAAGTCAGGCTGGTGCCCACCGTGGGAGAGGTCTCCCTCTTCTGACGTGCCAAAAAGGCAAGGCCCAAAGTGAAGAAAAGCTCCGAAGGGAACGCAGCCATGGGTGTCTCCTCCCTCCCGCAGGAGAACTGCTCCCGGGCGCTGCGGCCCCGCGGGCCGTGCCCAGCCCCACAGCGGGCAGGGAGAGAAGGCTTGGGGAGGTGCCACGAGTCACAGAGGGCTGGGCAGGAGTCACAGAGGGCTGGCCACGAGTCACAGAGGGCTGGCCACGAGTCACAGAGGGCTGGCCGGGCTGGGCAGCTGCCCCACCGCGCTGCCGAGCACATGGAGCTGCCCGGGATGGGCCGGCACAGCCCGCGGGGACGGACGGCACGGCCGGGACACTGAGCGGTACGTGGGCTTGTCCCATCCCCGACCGGGGAAATGCCTTTTCTAGAGCATGACTGAAATAATGGGTTCCTGCAGCACTTTTCTTTTGACTTACTGGCAGGTTAGGGAGTTGCCTGGGGAAGGTTTTAGGGTTTTTTTCCTTGTGGTCGGCTGGAGGGGAAGGGGAAGCTCCAGGCGCCCTTCCCGTGGGTGCAGCTGTGCTGGTGCCGTGGGCTGAAGGAATGAAATCCCCGTGTCAGCGGGGGGCTGTGGTGTGCTGCAGTCAGCTCGGTGATGTGGAGGCCAGACCAGCATGGCTATGGATGAATTTGCAAGGTGTTCACTGGGCAATGTGTGGGGCTAGTCCAAAATCAAGCTGCTGCTCAGGATGTCGTCTGTTTTCTCTTGCCCTGCTGAAAGACTTGGTGTAGGGATCCAGCTATTGCTGCCCACAGGTGCCAGCAGGGACAGAATTTCTTCCTTTTAAAAACCGATGGCATCATACAGAGTTTTGAGAAGCCAGACTAGATGGAAGGGTAGGAGGACACAAGTGCTTTCTGGTAGAAAGCAGCAAAACACTGGTCAACACCGTGGATAACTGTGGGCTTGTGCCAGGGCCAGTTGTGCCTTAAGATGCCCTCTCCAGCGTTTTGGTGGATGCAGAAGCCAGCCAAGCATTTTTATAAGCAAGGAAATTTATAAGCTCTCAAGCAAACAGCACCATCCTATTGAGCAACGCAGCAAAGTTTAATCAGACTGATTCCTTTTGAGACTGAAAATGGCACTGTAGCATTCTCCATTCTCCTGTGGTGATAAACCCTGAACACAGGGTGGATGTGCACCCACCCTGCCAGTCCCTTCTCTGCACCCCTGCATTCAGCTGTGCAGGAAAACCCTGCTTTTGGACGGGTGGCTCAGTGGCTGTGGGCATCTGGCAGTCACCCTTTTTGGAGTCGCATCCCCATTCTGCAGCAAAATTATTTTGTTCACAGTATGTTGGGAGAGACAGAAACATGTGGGACTCAAAAGCAGGAAAAAAAAGGGAAAAAAAGGGGGGGAAAAAAGGGAAAAAAAGGCAGAAGTTTGTGGGGAAGGGAAATAAAGTTTTCCTGCAGCACTGAGGGAGAACAGGAACATCCACCTGCTGCATCCTCCCTGCGAGGGCAGGGATCTGTCTGATCTTCCCAGCAGCAGTGACTCAGCTCCGCCAAGCGGCACTTCAGGCCAGAGCAGGCTTGGGTGGAGCTTTTGCTTTTCAACACCACCAGCCTCTTTAGCAGTATTTGTCCAAGAACTTTCTTGTTCCTGGAATGTTTTGTTAAGTAAACAAGTTTCAGGTTTATTTGACAAGTAACTGTTTAACACCTATCACAATTCTTTCTTTTCTCACTCTCCTGCCGGCAGCTCTCTGGCTGATGCCAGAACACAGGTGCCTTTTATTCTGGCACAACCCTAGGAAGAAAAAAAAATGATCAATGCAAACAATTAAAGAATAATATAATAGAAATCCCAGGACAGGGCCACCCTCTTGTAATGCAGTCAGGTTCCAGGAATTTCACCACCCAAGGACTTCACCTGGTAAATTTTATCTGGGATTAAGGTGAAGATAAATAGCCCTTTTATCTATGGGTTTATGACTCAAAGCACTGGCGTTTACTGGTTTATTTTTCAATTTGTCTTCCTTTGCAATGAAATCAGTACATGCAAAGGAAAAACATAACTTTGGTGAATGGGAGTACTGTCCAATGGACCCCAGTGAGGCCAATGTTCACTGTAGCACTGGGAAGCAGACAGGGAAGGTTTTGCAAACCCAGTGGAGTTTTGCCCTGCTCACTCTGTTCAAGTCACACCCCAGGTCTGAATCCTCACCAGGTCTAGGCTCTGCTCGTGGCACTTTTGGGGAAGACAACAAGCTGCCAAAGCAAACCAATACCAATTCTGAAGTGTTCACAACTTGCCAAGGGGGATTGTGAGAAAGGGCCCCATTTTCCAACCCCATCATCAGATCAGGCACTGGGATGGGGAGCCAAAATTAGGAAGAGGGTCTCTGTGTTTATAAACTTCATGCTGAAAGGAGCAAAAGGGAAGAGCCTTGTGCTGCCCCTTCAGATACAACCACAGGCAACATTTGTCCTCTAAAACCTTTAGACTCTCCTTTTTCAGGTCTGTGTCTCTTATACCAGCTCAGTGAAATGGGCTTGCTCATGCCAGCTCTGACAAAAGCTTTAAAATCTGTTTCAGAGTAACTGTGCTGAGGGCTGGGGTGTGGGGAAGGGCTTAGGGCATCACAGACCACCCAGCTGCCTCCTGTGGGGACAGATTCCTGCTCACAGCCAACCTTCCTCTGTGAGGAGTAGCTGCACAGAGAGGGGAGATGCTGCTGGGAAGCCATCGAGCTCAGCTGGCACACTGTCAAAAACACATTGTGTCTATACAGGGGGGACACAAATACCTCCCAAGGCTTTCCCTAAAGCGTAGTCTCCCATGGGAAGCTGGCAGCTCCGTGCTGGAGCAGCTTTGGCTGCCCGTCCCTGCTGCAGTGTCCCAGCAGGTGTGGGGACAGCAGAGGGGTCTCATGGGGAGAAGTGCCGGGCTCCAGAAGCATCAGCTGAAACATCAGTGTGGGGCTGCCTAAAAATCCCAGACAGTGATGCTGCAACCCAGCCCAGGGTGCAGGGGAAGCCATGGGGAGCATCTCCTCAGGGCACTGAGGGGGACACAGGCCCAGCCAGCCCAGGGCCCAAGGCTGCTCCACGGTCAGTAACGCAGCGAACCCTGGGAGGGGACCCGGAGCAGGGCTGGGCAGGAGGAAAAAGCTTTTCTCTCATTCCTCATGACGCAGCAGCCTGAAATCAACATTCAGCCCAGCCCTGCTACAGCCCGTTGCTCCTTATTTACCCTTCAAACAGGAAAAGCAACTCTCAGCGCAGCTCGTTTACAAATTTTCTGTCAAATACTAAAGGGCTGCTGTAGTTAACATCAGGCTCATTAACTCGCAGCACCCATCTCACAAGTGACAATTCGCCGTAGGGCTCCAGCGGGGCTTCCAGGACAGAGGTTCACCAGACTGCAGCCCCGAATTTCAAAGGTAGGAGTGGTCCCAGCCCCTGAGGGAGCCCAGTGTGTGGGGTGGGAGCAGGGCAGAGGGATGTAGATGGACTCTCCCCGGTAGGAAATAGTTCATGTTCCAAATTACAACCGCACCCTGTCCACGGGGTAAAGACGCTCCAGGATTTGGCCAGGTGGAAATATTTCTGGGTTTAAATCAGGTGTCCACAAAGCTGGCTGCTCTCCTCAGCACAGTGGTGCTGCCTGTCTTCCCTTCTCCTTTGGATTTTTAAGGAAGACAAGCTTGTTCACAGAGATTCCCCTGGCTGGGCAGGATCACAGCTGGTCCTCAGACAGCATTTTGCAGTCCCTAATATTTGAAATCTACTTTACATCACGGCAGAAAGAAATGCAGCACAGCTGTGATTGAAAGTGTCCACCTCACTGCTATCAGAACAGAAGAGGCTGGTCCACCACCGAGAGCAGGGCATGAACCATGGGGCTGCAGACCTGGGGGAGGGTTCTGAGGATCCAGAAGGAAGCGAGCTCAGTCAGTGCCACCTGCTCCAGGACTTAATCAGTGAGAGACCAAGCAAACCTGCATAAGAATTTGTACATCTTTGGTGACATCCTCACTATTACAAATATAACTAAACATAGCAATTATCTTCTCATCTAGAATCTACCTGCCTTTGGTGGGTTACAGGCACTCTTTAAGGCATTACCTTCTTTCCTCAGGGTGACCTGTGACTCAGTCCTTCCCAGCTGTGCTCTCTCTGCCCACCACTATGCGGATAACAAGTAAGGAGTGACACATATTTACTTTTCTCTGTCTGTTTTTCTACAGTTCTTTATGCCTCCTTCTCATTTACATGGTGCCTCCCAAGCCCAGCAGCCCTGCCCTTCCCCTGCCAGGGACGTGGGAAAGGGCCTTTGTACAAGCATCAGGTTTTTACAAGATTTGTGTAGATTTCAGCCTGTTGTATTTTTCCCAGTGAAACCTTCTGTGACTGGGAAGAGATGGCTATTGAGACATTCCTGGTTCCATAAGAGCCATTCAGCTGCAGTAAAAGTACATTTTTCTGCTCTCTTTCCATGCAGGACTGGAACGTTTTGCTCTGATGAGCGCTGCTTTAAAGCCAAATGCCAATCACAGTTGTATCAGCAGCTGCTCGGCTGTAGCTAGTGACTAATTGGGGGATAGCAGCCTTCCCAGCACTGGGAACATAAGAAATATTTGGATTTACATGGCTTTCTGAGTAATTATCAGGTTTACTTTGACATAGAGAGAAATATGAATAGTGCCTCCCAACAGAGCAGTAACGCCTATCTGGGCATCACCACATACTCTGGAGATGGTAATTAAGAGATCAGGCTCCATTTGGAGGGTGAGGGATTGTTTGCTGCCTTCCCACACCCACGCAAGCGTTGGCTGTCACCCCGTGCCTGGTAACCTTGGGACACAGGGATCAAATCCCAAGGAAGCAGAGGGATGATCCGGTGCCTGCCCCGTGCTGCAGCTGCTGCTCTCAGCCGGCTCTTCTCCCGTGCCTGCAGGTGTGATCCGGTACATGGTGCTGCTCATCACCCTGCTGGGCACATGGTTCATCACCCAGACCTACTTCCACCAGAGCTGGAAAGCCGTCAGCCTGCGGAGCTGGCTCGGTGAGGCACCAACGGGCTCCAGAGGGATCTGGAGGGAGGGCGCGAGAGGTTTAATTGGAGCCAGCGCCCAGGGCTGGACAGAGTTGCCCTGACCACTTGTATTTGCAGTCTCTGGCCAAGCTTTAGCCACCAGCTCTGACCACTAGGGCAGGGAGGGGACAGTGTGGTGGGAAGCTGCACTGGGGTGGCTGGGTCCAGGGACGTCTGCAATCATGGGAGGCAGTTTTAGAGAGCTGGTGCCTGAGCAGCTGCTCCTGGCTTGGGGAAGAGCCAGCAGCTCTACAGAGTGTCTAATCCTCCTGTTTGATACCCACAGGTGCCATGAACAAGCCCAGCAGTGAGTATCGCTCTCGACTTCATCTCACAACTCCAGGGTTCAGGGGGATGGTGGAAGAGTGAGATCTCCTTCAAGAGCTCCTTCCCTGAGGCAAAAATCCCCTTCTCCCAAACATGGGGGATTTTCCTACTGCACACGGCAATAGGGTCTTTGGCAGGTCCCTGCCTCAGCCAAGAATGGGGAAACTCTGGGCAGGAAAACCCCAAGCTGGTGCCTTGGACATCAGCTCCAAATGCTCCCAGCACACACCATGTGTCACACCTGGAGCAGCACCTGGCCTTGGCACCATAAACTTCAAACAAGAAGCTGGTCCCAGCCCTAGGACAAACCTTCTTCATGCAAGAAGTTGGTCCAGGTGTTGCCCACTTAGTGGGCCACTGTATACCAGGGCCAGGCCTGCTCAGCCCCTCAGGGACACGGCCGGTGTCTCCACATGGGGACAAAGCCATCACTCTCAGCTCCACTCCTCCCTCACAGGTGAGAAGCTGCCCCAGCACAAGTGTGGGAACAAGAAGAGCTGCCCCCAGAATTATTTTGCCTTCAGGATCATCAGTGGTGCTGCAAATGTGGTGGGACCCTCGATCTGCTTTGAAGACTTGGTGTAAGCAGCATATGGCAGGGACAAGGCAGCCATGGCTGGCCTGGCCTTCAAGAGGGCAAATTTGGCATCTGCCAAGCACATCAATGGCCATCACAGTGTATTTGTGGTTAAAAAAAAATGTAAATAGATTTCTTTGCTACCACTTCTGGCTATTTTGCCATCTACAGCCACTTCACCCCACCACAGTTTCACTGGCGTCAGCATCTCCAGGGCATCCCTGCACTCACTGGTGCTCTCTGCTTTCCTTTCCAGCCTCATGAGCAGCGTGAAAAACAACATTGGCAGAGGCCTGAACATTGCACTGGTGAATGGTGAGTCGGGCAGGCACTGACCCCCTTCTCCCCACTGCCAGGGGTCCTCCCTTCCCCAGGAAAGCACAGGTCCCTGGAGACCCCATCCCAGGCACTGTGGCTGGGCCAGAGACACATCCATCTGGTGTTGCATGGGGAGCACAGTCACCATCACAGAAGTTACAACACACTGAGGGAAGAGCAAAGCATTTTGCAGGGAGCCCCAGGCTCATGGCCAGGCAGAGCCCAGTGCAAACTCACTGTGCTCTGTTTTCAATTTTAACCTTTCAGGAACAACTGGGCAGCTCCTGAAAACCAACTCCTTCGACATGTACTCTGGAGGTAAGCACAGTCACTCTGCTCCTCGGAGGTTCCCAGCCAGGGCTCACACCAGCACTCCTGGCTACTTCAGCTGCTTCTCTGTCAGCTGTTTAATGATAAAGCCAAGTGGACTTTGACCAGACTTGCCAGCCTGGGTGGTAAAATCCCAGCTTTCCCTGAGGCCATCGAGCCTGGCATCCTCACAATGCTTCCACATCCAGGATTGGCTTCTCACTCCTTTTACAAGCATGTAATAGCCTGGAAAACATGATCTCGCTAACCTGAATAAACCAAGGCACTTGAGACTTGAGAAAGGTACTCTCTGAGATCAGGAAGTTACACTGATCCTGATACTTTGCAACCCTTAACTCAGTTTTTGAATACTGGTGGTGGCTGAGCAGAAGCTCATTCCCCTGCCTTTCACAGCAGGACAAATGAAGGCGCTCAGGGAGACATGGCCCCCTCAATCACTCCTGTGCAACCTACTTCTGATAATTCTGGAGTTTTAAAGAGAATCACCAATATAATGATGTTTCCAGCCAAGCTCACAAGTGAGATGCTCGGTGGGAGAGGCACTGGGAAGAAGGCAGCAGTCGGCTCATGTGCCACTAGATGGGGCATTGGATTCAAGCATCCTGCAGATGCGGGAAGAGGAGTAATTCCCCCAATACAGCCAGAGGCATGATGGCAGGGAAGGCGGCTCTGTGGCTGAGCAGGTTCATTTCTTGTGTTGGGAAGTAAATTCACACAGCTAGATTTCAGAGTTAGCAAGCAAAGTTTAGGAGAAATTTCTGCCCTGTAGCTGTATCAAAAGGAGGGCATCAGTCCTGTGCACTGCAGGAGAGCCCAGGTGGGAACATAGGATGGGGAATGCATCATTTGGGAGCCTACCATTCCCCCAAATCCTGGCTAGCACCAGCACAGTCAGGTTATTTCCCACCAACCCAGAGCAGGCTCCCTCAGCTACCATGCAGAAGCACCTGCTAAATCCCTTTTTTCTCTCCCTAATGCTCTTCTCTCCCAGACATTACCAAGCTGCAAACCTTCCTCCAAGAGATCAAGCATGGCACCCTTGTGCTGACAGCAAGCTACGATGATGCTGCCACAAAGTGAGTTTGCCCATGGAAGCAACACCAGACTCCCAGAAACACACAGCTGGGGGAGCTGGACATGCTGCTGCCACCAACAGAGAGGGTAAAAGAGAGGAAATCCACCTGGCACCACACTGACACCTCCTTACCCTCTTTCAGGATGAATGACAAAGTAAGGGCCTATTTCACGGAGCTGGGCAGCAACCACGTGGGCAAGCTGGGCTTCCGAGACAACTGGGTGTTCTTGGGAGCAAAAGGGCTGATGAACAAGAGCCCCTTTGAAAAGGTACATGGGTAAAAGGTACACCCCTGCCATGAGCTCTGCAGGCTCCATCCTCTTCAGGGCACCTCCCGAGCTACACCTCACCCACCTGTCTGCAGAAGACAAGGACCCTTTAAAACATGCATTATCCCCCACGCCAAACCAAGCTGTAACTTTTGCCACATTGCTAACTTGCACTGTTCCAACCTCCTCTCTCTTTTTTCTTGCAGCACATTAAAAATAATAAAGAGACAAATAAATACGAGGGCTGGCCTGAGCTGTTGGAGATGGAGGGCTGTGCCCCCAGGAAGATGGACTAGCATCAAACTCCAGCCTGCCATGGAGGGCAGCTTCACCAGTCACCCAGGGACACCCCCAGGACAGCCCCATCGTGGGGACTCCAGCCTCTCCACTGCCAGGGCACAGAGTCCAGCAGCTGTTGCTTTCCCACAGGAACTGGCTGTTTCACAGCAGGAACTGTGCAGGGCTTGGAGAAGAGCGGTACAAGTGCCTGCAGAGCCTGAGCAGACACATGGCCAGGCTGGAGCCAAGCCATCCTCATCTATGGGTTAATTTGGGGTATTCTATTTTTCTATCTTTAAACTATAAAACTTTGTAGAAGGTTTTGTAAATTTCTTAAATGAGATTTCTAATTATAAAACACTACCTTCTCCCTTCAATTTTCACGCATAATCAACACTTTCCCCCACAGGCACAGCATGCCAAGTCCTCTGCCACCAGTCAAGCATCACCGTCACCCATCCCACAGCTCTGCACACAGGAGCTCCCCCTCCCCACATGGCACAGGGTAAAGTGATCCCTGGGGATGCTCAGACTTTGGTGGTTTCCCATTAGAGCTCTTGCCAATGTCCTGTGGTCTCCTACAGCCAGAAGTCCATAGGGATATATATATGGGACCAGAATTATATCTTTATATCTATTTATATTATATCTATAAGGCCAGAAGTTCACAGGGATAGCATGCAGCAATGCAGATTAATATATTTGCAGACCAAAGTATCATTCCTGAATGTTACAAACTGATTTAAACCCAGAAGAGCAAAGAAAACTAAGTCTCTGTTTATAAAATGGAAAGAACTTTGAAGGTTCAAAATCCTTCCAAAAACGAGATAAAAACAAAATGAGATTAAATGTTGATGCCAAAAAATTGATATATTTTTATTTAATAATAAGAGAGGCAAAGAGAAAAAAAGTGAAAAGTAGGGAAAAGTTAGAAAATGTTAAGGTCACTTTTAAAAGCATAGGATAGGTCACCACCTCATTGTGCTTCCTTTGTTGCTGTTGAGACAGGGTGGGGCGAGCAGAGCAGGTTTTGCCCTTTTTTTTCTGCTGTTTAGGCATCTTCCCTGCCTTCCCTGATCTCTGGGCAGTTTGGCTGGGATGTGGCAGCCCATCCTCCGAGATGCCGGCGCGGTGCCCGGTCGCTGCGGCCGGACCTCGGTGCACTCACGGGAGCAGGGTGGGGGTTCCACAATTCACTCTGGCTTCAGTCCAGGGGTGCAGGATCGGGGGGCTCTCCCCAAGCAGACAGTGTCAGCTCCCGGGGGCCTCAGGGTGTCTCGCAGCAGGTGATGGTGCTAGAAGCAGGGGAAAGGCAAAGGTCAGGGATTCTGCCCCTTGTTTTCCCCTCCACATTTTGCACCAGTTTTGCCTTCTTTTTTATGGGCCTCAAGGAAGGCTACTCACAATCCATCCTACCTGTAGTTTTCAGGTGTTCAAGAGTGATTTTGATAAGCAGACATAATGACAAAGCATTTTTTGAAGCCATTCTCTTACTATCAGGTTCTTACACTGGGTTAAATCCAAGCTCATCCCTGCCAAAAGTCGGGATAATGCCAGGGATCTGGCAACCTTGCTTTGCCCTCAGGAAGGGATGGATGGATGGATGGATGGATGTGCAGGTTTCTTGGGCAGCTGAAGTTGTGCAGCACAACCAATAGGTGGGAGCCTTTTACCAGTAGAGCCAAGAGCCAGCATCACTCTGGAGCGATACAATGCTCCCAGGCTGGCACCCACGGGGGTCAGCCACACACCGGGAGCTGCACCCCAGCCTGGAGCCAGCTGACACCACCAGGAGAGGAAAGACCCCTGCCCAAAGGTGGGACAGGAAAGCCCCATGGTCCTCCTTAGAGCAGTCCCTACCTTCTGCCCAACACCGAGCAGGTCCTGGGGAGCCTCTGCCCCCTGCTCCTGTCCAGATGCTTCAGCCAAGCACAGTCTGTTCCCAGCCCCTCCCTGAGCCCTGGCACTGCTGGGATCAGATGAGCTGCAGGGGTGATGGCCGGGCTTATCTGCCATCAGAGACAGGGATGAATTTGCATCATGTACAGACTTTAATTTCCGATGATTGTATCTGTTTTTTCCCCCATTCTCTGAAGCAGACCAGCAGTTTTGCAGAACATGGGGACGGAGTGTTTCTCCTGGAGCATTTGGAGCTGCACGGAATAACAGACTGTCCTGCACAGCCTTTTCTGCTTCCAACAGCCCCTGCACAGCTCCTAGCAGGAAGTTCACAGGGTTATCCAAGCCCTCAGGTCACCCCAGGGGAGTGAAGTGAGGAGCATGGGCAGGATAAGGCCAGGAAAGGACATAGCCTGTCCTGTGCTGGCCACCTGAAGGACGAAACCCTGGATCCAAAATTCAATGTCACCAATCAATTGGTTTTCCCTAAACAAGGAAAAATCCCCACATAAATTGTGTAACACCTGTAAGAACTTCCAAAGGCAGAACTAAAATAAAACCCCAAAACAGCCATCACAGAGGAATCCCAGAAGAGGTGTAGTATTTTATCCCAGCTTATCCTCCCATGCTCTTAGCACACACCTGATGGCACTGAGGGAAATCTCTGCCATAAATCGATCCCTAAATCTGCTGCAACAACAGCGGTTAATCCCAAGCGCTGAATCATCCCTAGCCGTGGCAGCAGCAAGAAATAACACAACGAGCAGACACAACAGCCCTGCTGAGCTGCCAGCATAAATATGCCAACTATTTTAAGCCCCTCAAAGGATCTAGAAGCACTCATAAACCAAACTGAAAACAGCCCAAGAGCCGTAAAGGTGGCTCCACAGGGTAAACCAGAGCACAGCATCAACTACAGCCCCAAAAACAACCAGCCCCATTCAGCTGCAGGAAACTCTTCCTACCCCTTCGCAATGCACATTAGAAATCTGGTTTAAAGCCAAAATAAAGGAAATTTATGTTTCAGCATGCTACAGGCAGTTAAAACTAGCTCTGAATCAATCACAGAGCAGTTACTAAGGTACATCGCTATTTTCAGGGAGTAGGGAGAGCTAAAAGTGCAACTCCTGTGCAGGGACCTTCAGTAGCAGCCAGTGTTTTGTAAAGCCATTCCTGCCAAAGTCACTGTGTCCTGATAAATAAATCAGAGTTTTTTAATATCCAGACAATGAGAGGCAGGGAATAAATATGGATTCATGAGTCAAATCAAACTTGCTAATTTCTTTAAAGGGATCTGAAAAGGACAGGGTGTGCAGGGACAGTAATCTCCAAATGAGGTTTTGCAGTGCTGTGGCATTTTGAAAGCTGTGTTACTGCAGGGACAGACACCTACCTGGCTGGTTTGCACTGTGCTGCATCCCCAGAGTCTTCACCAAACACAAGCCTGACCCTCCTGGACTCCCAGGATGCGGCTTCAGGTAACCTGGGCTCACAGTAGGCACCAACGCTGCAGCCTGGGGTGTTTGTGGGAACAAAGTTTGCAAAATCCACTGCTGCAACAGGAGCCAAGAGCCAGAATGCAGACAGGCAGCAGAGGGATAATCTTCCTTTATTTTTTAGGGTTCATTTGGGCAAAGCACCAAAGGAGTATCTAGGAAAGATGCCACAGGCAAGGACCTGCGGGTGCCGGGCCGCAGCTGGGCGAATCCGCATCCTGTGACATCTTGCCCTGTCAAGTGCAATTACTGTAATCTTCCACAGCCTCTCAAAATACGGATCCCGGCTTAGAAACCGGGCATCCACAGCATGAAAGCTGCCTTTGTGCCCGGGCAGAGCCTGGGTGCGAGCCAGCCGTTAGGTGCATGAAGAAAATGAGTTCTCCACGTGCTGGAAGAAGGGAGGAAAAGCAAGCTTTCCCACCCGACCCCGCCACAGACGGGCTGGATTTCACCCACGTCTCCCCACAGCAGCCGCGGAGGGGCCGGGAGCAGCACGGGTGCCTGTCCCCCCTGGAGTAACGCAGAGAGCCCTGGTCCCACAGCCCGGAGAGTGGAGCGCAGCCAACACATCCGACCATGGGAGCGTCTCACGGGAAAAAGGTAACGGGGCGGTTTCCTCAGGGCTCTGGTGCTGAGATGGGATGGAGAAGGCACCATCTGCTCACGTGCTGCTTGTCTTGCCCCGTGCGTGCTGCCGATGGCGGCGAGGGATTAGAGGGAAGGGACCCGCTCCTGGGTGTGGGTGCCACTCATCGGGGCCGGATTAAGTAATTCCATCTAATGGGCTCAGCACTGGGGCCTGGCGGGGCTTTCAGGACAGCAAGGAGGGGATCAGAGCATTGCAAGCATTGCATTAGGACAGACAAAGTTTGGTTCTCTGGGGAGAAATGTCAGATTTGTTCTGAATGCATCCAGCAGCCTCTGGGATGTCTCCTGTAGATGCAGCGCAGAGCAAGCCCAGAGTATTTACTGGCCTGGGAATTGGTGCCAGCTCCCTCCCAGGACAGGGAGGAGCTCTGCCAGGTCCCACAGCACCAACATGTATCCCTCTCCTCCAAATCCCCTGGGGAGAGCAGTCAAACGGAGACAGTTTTATAGAGCCAGAGCCCTGCAGAGGTGCCTGGAGATGCTTGTGCTGAGGATATTGTTGGATGTCATTTTGCTTCCATGGCTGATGACATCAGTGCCTAGTGATGCATCATCCCTGCTCGGTTACAATGCCGTGTCTGGAATAAGGATTCCATAGCTCATCTCCCAGCTCTAAGAGAAACACACTTGTGCACCACAATAGGTCAATAACTTACACTGGAATGGGGACAGCGGTCACCCTTTGCCCCACAGGTACCCTTCCTGCTCAGCTGAGCATGACTGTGGCTTTCAGAGGTATGGGCACCAAGTGCCTTTCAGAATTTTGTAAACTTGCTGGACTTTCTTCCAAAATCAGAGCTAGACACTCTTGCAGGGCAAACATGTGAAAAAGCAACCCACTGGCCATTGTGACCAACACCCAGAAAGAAAATCAGAGCTGAAGTGAGACTAGTAAACATTTATCTATTTTCCTGGTCTTCTGACAAGTGCCAGGCACAGGAAGTGCTGCTCCCAGCCAGCCCAGTGCTGCTCCAGGACCCATCTCAGGTACCAACGCCACGCTGGCTCCAGCACACACGGGAGTCGTGGTTGTTCCCGTGGCTCAGGGCTACAACTCACCCAGGAGGAGCCATGTTCTGCCCACAGCTAATCCCCAGGCCCCTGCTCACGTGGCCCTGACCTTCAGGCCCCTGCACATTTGTAGAGGCATTACTGGAAGCAGGGAAATAAGCTGGTTAGGTCA